ACCCTCCAAGCTGATATTCTAATCAKTCYGSACTTCTTTTATGCACACATACATACACATGCACTTATAAGCACGCGCTCTGCTAACTGCGCAGTAGGCAGCGGCTGCGCTTGGGCTGCACTGCAGTGTGGGCAATATTATGAGAATTTATTTGTTAAATAACGGGACGGAACCATTTTCAATGGCAATTGGCTAAGATGTGAATATGGGAGAGCTCTGGTATTACAGTTATATGGAAATGTATGAAACATATAGAAGGCGTCTTGGCAGACCCCATAGAATACATATATTCATAGTCAGTACTATAAACTGAATGCGTTTATATCTGTCTTGCCTGTTTGTCTGTCCGTTAGCAGAAAGACATCGAATCTGTAAATATTTCCGTTAATTTATCATAAGCAAGCTTTTCTTCTATCGCTAACTTTTTTTTATTATTATTTCAAGTAGGCAATTCAAGTTAGCGCTTGGGTCGTGGTATCTCCTAGTCGGTCACATCTGCCTTCATGCTATAGAAAATACTGAAAATGACATTGCATTCTTGCCTCTAACAGAACGAAGCAAATAACTTGGCAATGTCTAATGGAAGCACTAAGCACAAAGCAGCTCTGCTGCAATTAACTCAACAAATGAATGTAAGGTCTTACCTTCATTTCCATCCCTACACAGATTATTTGTATTAATTTACGTTGGCTCCTTGATACAGAGCTTCTATATATGTACGTGTTCATAGAATTATGAAAAATCCAATCAAACTGAGATTGAATTGCAAATTCTGGAAAAGAAGAGGCTTGCTTTCCTGCCATTTCCAGCATAATATATAAATTTTCATTAAAGTCCATCAAGAAATGTATACTTTCTGGAAAATATTGGCTAAATGAAAGTATTGGCAATAAACGAAAAGCATAGATAGATAAATACGACAGTACTTATAAAGATATATGCTTAAAGCTAGACATCATTTTTCTGTTAGATAAGGACATCATATAGACATAATGAAAATAGTTCATAAAACTAAAGTAAGACCATAATTATTCTCACAACATCAACCAAAGGTAAACGAATATTTTATTAAATAATTTATTCAAAATAAAAATATTATTATATCAAGTAATTTAATTGAGTAAATTGCATGGAAACAAATATGTTCATACTTGGAATACTCTATATATAAACCAAAGTAGTTCAAAGTCCAGAGACCGTAAATTATTTTCCAGCTTTAATAGGCAGACACACAATTTCAAATTCAAGGCCCATGGATATTGGGGAAAAAATAAAAATAAATAAAAACTCATTACATTTCGTAAAAGAAATAAATTCTGTAGAATTACATAATATAAATACACTCTTGGATATTTGGCAAATCCAATAATTGCAGAAGAACAATTCACATGGAGGATTGCGTTATGATGCGAAAGTACTTGCTTGGGATTGTCAATAGCGTTCTGAAAATCGTATTTGTACTCCAGTGTTAAATGAGCACAACAAAGTCTTTATAGAATTCTCAGCTAGTGTGATTACCCACACTGCTCTGAGTCGTGTTGAGGCAGAGGCTCTATGGCTGCTTCGGTTTGCTGTAGTGCAAATGACAGGGCGTTTCAAGCATATGAAGGATATAGAGTGCCAGTAGGGAGTGTGCTCGTCGTCGGGCTACTTATACGTTGGCAAAACGTTCTGTCATCTTGACAACACATACAAACGCTGTTTTGCCTTTGTCTTACAGCAATACACGAGGCGAATAAAAGCAAAAAGCCAACAACAACAGCAGCCAGCAACTAGCAGTGATGTATGTTGGTGAAAATGCGTTGAAAAATGTGTAAACGAAGCGATCTAAACGCTAGAGTAAATGTGCTTGAGTAATAATAGTGAAACACACATACATACATACATACATACATATATCTGCTCACACAGACAATGGCAAATAGATTCGAGTGAAACTCTTATCAAATGCAGTCAACGAGCTTGTTGACATCCTCACGCATGAAATAAGTGGGTAAACCAATGTAGACACATAAACAGACATGGAGTTTTTCCAGGAAAATTCTGTTGCAAAACAGTCTAATTGAATTAAAATCAAATTGCACAAGAGTCATGCAAAAGTAAATTATTTGAGAATGCAACAATACAAATGTAACTTGCAGACTTACAAAATGTTCTCATGCGGGTTTGTGTGTGTGTGTGCGACAGTGTGTGGGTGTGTTTGTGTATTTGTCAATATGAAATTTTTATGTCCAGAYGGAGCATAAAATTTTTAAAGCCACTTTGATTTACTATAAAGGATAGGCCCCTCGTCCAATCTTATGAAATTGCGTATGAAATATTTATGATTGCGAAACAGAAATAAAAAATAAAAATAAAAGCAACAACAACAACAACAACAAGGCCTCGCCTGACCCAACGAACATTTCTGACTGCCTGTCTGGTTGTCATATGCTGCTACCCCTGCTGGCCACAGCCCCACTCACCCGCTAGTGCACAAATATTTATATACATTCATTCATACCTACATTGAGAGAGCAGTCGCATAACTGGCAACATATTTTACCCCAATCACATACTTTTGTGGCCTGAATGCCACAAAAAGGTGTGCGTCAGAGTCCAGTGATGCCAAGGGGCTGCCTACGAGGGGCGGTCGGAGCGGCGGTGCAATTGGCTTCTCTGATAGTTGATCTCGACTGCAGCTAGAAAGCTGCAGCAAGAAAATAAGTGAAAGAAGTTGGCAACTTGCTTAATTTGGTGGTGCATACATACATACGGATTTATATAAATTTGAGTAGATATATGTATGAATATATGTCTTTTAAATATTTATATATAAATGCAGTAAATATTTCACATTTTCTATCTATGTCGTCTTGGCTCTCATATTTCTTTTATACTCTTTACTTGTCCACTTGTGCGCCTTGCTCTGGGCTCCTTACGGGATAATCTCGGCTTCTACATAGCTGTGATTATAAAAGGTTGCATACTTCGGCGCACTGGCATGCCGGCAATGCCAGAAATATGCACGTCCCATTGGCTCTGTGTTTGTGTGTGTGTGTGTCGTTTAGCCAACTGTCTGGCCCAAGTGTAGGGCATTTTCGCATTTCAATTTTTCGTCTTTTTCGGCACACAGCACAGCTGGCTGGCCAAAACAAGCTAGCCGAAAAGGACGACAGCATTTTTTCGATTGCATGGATATGCAATAAACGTAATTACAATGCCAACTTGGGTGTGTCTCAATGTCTCTGATTGTCTCTGAGTGTCTCTCTCTGTGTGTGTTTTGGAGTGTCGATATGTCCTGCAGTTTTGTCCATCGATAAACAAAAGTTGGCCAATTAAATTTTTCAGCATCATACAACCAACTGGTTTCTTTGCCCATATTATCAACTCCTTGATATTTACCCCACACTGAGCTGTCAACTGATTTAATACTCCTGTGTGTAATGGTTAGCAATTTAACAAGAGTTTTGAAACTTGCAGTTAGTTATCGCACAGCTGCACTTAAAGCAATTAGTTTGCCATTTGGTAGGACAGTCGACGCTATGGACTTTAATTGGATCGTTGACAGCAAACAGGAATTTTGTGAATGAGTTTCATTGTATATTTACGAATTTTTACGCATTGTATTATATTTTAATAGATTAACTTGCTTCGTAAAAGTGTTATCTGATATTTCAGTTACTTAATATGCATCTTAATAGCATTCCTTACGGTTATTCAATATTCATTAGATTACTGCAACTGCAACAATCGAGCGCTCAAGTACTTTGTATTGCAATTAGTTTGAGTAGCATCTTCGATTTATCATATTAATCGTCAGTTACTTACGATTTAATTGAGAGCGTGGCTGGGACAACGCCACAGACAGACAGACACTACAGCATATTTGCCAGCTGCTCTTGCACAAATTCAATTAAAATCGTTTGCTCTGTAGCCAGAGCAAAATCGATTCTGTGATAGGTATCGGCGGCAAGCGCTCAACCTTTGAGCAGGGGTCGAGGACGACGTCAACGGCGACGTCGATGCCGATGCCGATGCCGATGCCGATGCCGATGCCGCTGCCGCTGCCGCTGCCTAAAACCACAGTTGAAATTCTTAACCAAGATTCCAATAACTTAATTGGAAGAACGCATCAAAGCCGATTTCAAGAGTTTGCGCCGCGCTCAGCCTTAGCCGCGAGGCAGACTTAAGCACGAGCCGGCCAAGGTCTAAAACGAATTTAAAGCAACAACAATGGGAGTGGGAAACTGTCAATGCGGCCAGCTGCTGCCTAAGACAGTGAGCTCTGGCCTGCGGCGAATTTCTAAATGAAAAGCTATTTTTTGTGTGTGTGTGTGTGTGGCGAGTGCTCTGAGTGGGTGCTCTGCCTGTGTGTGTGTGTGTGTGTGTGTGTGTGTGTGTGTGTTGGTGTACACCCAAATCAAATTGCAACTGGCAAAAGAGTCAAGTCAAAATAGGCGTAAACAGATTGCCCACTTGGCCGGCCAAACTCCTCTCTCACTTCGCAGTTCGCAGTTCGCAGTTCTCCGTTCGCAGTTCGCAGCTCTCAGTCGAGTTGAGCTCGGTTTTGGCTTTCAGCTCTGTTGCGAGCTCGCCGCAACACGGAAGTCGCGTTTGTTGCCACAGAGCGCATCCTGCCTTTGGTTTAGGCGCTGCCAGCGACTGCCACTCGAATTTTGAATTACGCGCTGCTGTCAGGATGCACCCCATCGCCCCTACCAGCACTCGCAGCACTCCGTAGCCTCCTCCTGCTCCTGCTCCGCATGTTTAGCCGCATCCTGACTGCTTTTGAAAGTTTTATGCCGCGCACTTTTGCAGCAGCACAACTTTGCAACTGTACATAAATTTAATTTCATTTTATGAGCAGTCCCAAAATCTTTGGCAGCTCATACACACCAACACACACACACACACACACACTCGCCAGCACACACATACAGTCACAATAAAATCTATGCCCAGCTAATGCAATTTTATTTCCCGCCTTGCCTTTTTTACAGCGCACTTGCAGCAGTCCAGCCGCCTCCTTGCCCCCTTGCCACGCCCCTATTGCCAGGAAACTGTTTTGGTGAGTTAAGTATGAATTATGTTGTTTTACTGCACGGGCCTGAGTTTGAAAAACTTATTGAAATATGCCAGCAGAAGGCTGCCGGCCGTAGGGCGCACTGCAAACTTGTGTCCTTTTAAGCTTAATTGAAAGTTGGAGAGTGGAGCCAAAATGTTGCCCACAGCGCAGTATGGCCGATGCCGCTGCCACAGCAAAGTTTTCGAAAGACGCGCCTTCTTTTCGGCCGCCTGGCAGTAAATTACCAACAGCTGTTTTGCCTTCTGAGTGGCTGGCTGTAGCGCCAACTGCAGCTCTCACCTTTGTGGCCAGGTCCTTGGCGAGGAAACTTTGCGGGCAACAACTCGATTGGCATTGATCGAGCTGTGGCCAAATGATATATCGAATCCTTCCGCCTAGCCTCGCTATGCCGTTGCCTTTACCACAATATCAACAACAGACAACAGACAGAATATCAACGCACAACTTTTCACGCACAACAAAATTTTGGTGGAAAACAAGCAAACAAGAGCAATAGAAGCGAACGACGAGAATCTTTTGCAGCTGCTCATAAAAATGTCAGAGAGTGCACCGAGCTCACCCACCCACTCCCCAGCTGCGGCTGCAATTTGTTATTTGATTTTTTCTATGGCCATGCAAAACTTTCGCTTTGAAATGACAGCGGCGAGAGCTGAGAGGAAGCTGCTCCGACTTTAGAGAGCACAACAAAGTGCGCTTTCTGCTGTTTTGGGTGGGTGAGGTGGGTTGGGGTGCTTGGCTGCTTGGCTGTTTGGCTGCTTGGCTGCTGGCACCAGCACGGAAATAGCTTGAAGTTGTCAGCTGCGCAATGATGCACATTAAGTGTCAAGTGTCAGACGCTGCCAAAAAGTTGTTGACAACAACAACAGCAACCGAAACAACAACAACGTGCGACACTTGCATCAACCACAAGAAAAGTACTGACAACTGACGCCGCCTGTCAATAGGAACGAGCATTGCCTTAGAGCGAACGAGYGAACGAACGCCCGCTATATTATTTATTTATTTTGTTTAGATTCTCGACCATTTTTGCCAATTTCCCAACGCCTTTGTGTAAACAAATCTAGACCCAAGCAATTTCTGGTTATTTTTAGGGCAAACACAATAACAGTCTCCAGTGGCAGCACGAGGCGACAAAGACGGCAAAGTCGTCGCCATACTCAATATTATTTGCGTTTCCATTTTCGCTACCTAAACTGACGGAGCACCCCTCGCCCGTCTGCCTGCCAGGCCAGGCCACTGACTGTTTGCACCGTCTGCTGCCTCCTGCAGCGGGCGATATCCCATGGAGTTTTCAATTCCAGCTCAAGTACGTGCCTTGCTTGATTTGCAATCCTTTGAAGTCGCATGCCAGTTGGCTGGCATATACACATATATAACTAAATATACATATTTAGAGTAGCTGAACGGGTCTGGGTAGTGGGCTCGGATATGGGGAAATGGTTAGCTGGGGATAGCACTGATATTTTGATGCCTGGTTGTCAAAATTGCGATATGTCGCTGGCATTTGTTTGCGTTGCAACTTAAGTTGCATTCTGATACTCTTAGCCGTGCTGCGTGCACCGAGCATAAGCATAACGACTACGATTTTCCACTGCTCGACATTTTTCATGCATAATTGAAAATAAATTTATCCCCGCCTGCTTCTGCTCCTGCTCCTGCTCCTGCTGCTGCTGCTGCTGCTGCGCTTGGCAAACATTTGCTGACTCGTACGCTGCAGCTCGTTCAATTGAAAAGTTGTAAAATCAACAAGTCACTGGCAAACAGGAAAACCAGCGACAACGCGGAACTGGCAAAATACTCCACTTGCATGTGTGTGTGCATGTGAGCAAATGCACCCACTGCTGGCATACGCTGGGCTATAACCGCCTCAGGCTGGCGGCACTGTTGAAGAATTTCTCTTGAATAAAATATTTAAAATGTAATATTTGAAAATCACATTTTTAAAATCTCTCAACAAAAATCTTCAAAATATTATATGTGGAAAGCACAGAAATGTTTATTCAGTCTCTCAAATGAAATCGTTAAAATATAATTTGTAGATACATATATACAATATACATATTTTATTTTTTTCGGCTACGACTATAAAACAACATCTTCAATTGTATGCAAAAAAAAATAAATAAAAAAAAATAAATTTAAAATATCATCTTGTAGCCCA